ACACTATACATTTCTTTTTATTAGCAGACTGTGGGTGCTCATGCAAAAGTGTCTGGTCCTAATGTCTAATAGAAGGCTATTTTTGTTTGATTGTATGCATCGTGAAGTTCACCTAGCTTTAGCAGATTGTAGTCTAATCTGGACTAGACCCTCCCGTTGTGTGCTTCCTGCTTCATCCCTCACAGCCAGATCATACTGAAAGTGCACAATAGAACTGCTTATTTAAGGTGGAATGGTGAAGTGTGATCTCCTGCTGGCCGTGCCTCTAGTGACCCTGTCCGTCTGTCTCTCTACTCTGGTATGGTCATGCCAACTCTCTGGGTCTGAGTCACCCTACAGCACATGGCATCTGATGCCTTTACACTCGCCCACTCACACTTCCCCTGCTTCTTTTCCATTCCCATGCTCCCTCTCTAAAACACTGTCATGTTCTCTGTCCTGTCCTGTGCAGGTCTAGTGCCTTTGGGTACTAATTTCTACCAAAGTCAACACAACCTTTTCTGTTTGGGATGTGGGAGTAAATACTGTACTTCTGATATTTAGTTTATGTCCTCACTGTCTAGTCAGGTTTAACCTAGAATCAGTGCCAGCCATAATTCAGCCTAATTTAAGAAAGCCAAGGTTTTAGAAATCAACATAACAATGAATGGACTGAATTGGACAAAATGCACGAAAACCACAATTATGGAAATGAAAGACAGAAATCCTGTAAGATTTGTCCTGGATAGGTGCTGTGTTAGCCATCATTAACCAGCATTCATCAGTGCCATTTTAAGAATTACCGTATGATAAAATGTAGTACTTTTCTTTTTTGTGTAAAAGCTGTTGAATCTGCTCCTATTTGGGTTACCATTCCTCAAAAAAAACAGCGTGACTCGTGGCTGCATGCAGACTGATCTGTTGAGGCTTCTGTAGAGAAATAAATCTCTTTCGCTTACCTTTTCTGTGATCGAATTTTCTCTTGTGTTGTTGCTGAACATCTGTGCAAAGAAACACTTGCTCTTTTGAGAGACATTAAAAAGACAGCAGGACATGATCTGAAATGTTTGGTCATTTATCTACCAAAATATGGATAGATAAATAATAAAATAATTTGGCACATCCCCAGTAGCCACATTAATGGCTTTGTTCTGATCTAATTGGTGCAATTGGAGCTTTGTCTATGGAGGAGTTGTTGCAGTTATTTATGTTTTGAGCGTTGTTGTGTTCTTGTTGTTGAGATGCAGTTGAGCAGTCCAGTGTCCTCAGGCCGTTGTTTGGCATGGGGTTTTATGGGCGGTCCAGAAATTCATCAGCTGTGTGCCATATATACCACCCTCAGGGATATTAACTATCTGTGCCTCACCAGGCTGGATCAGACCCAGCACTAAGTTCTGCAATTAAGCTGATATGTAACAATGTTAAAAGCTTTAGAAATGGGCTATGACCAATGAAGTTTCTTCTTATCCAAACTGAGGGCCTAAAGGTATATTCAGACAGAAAGGGAAGCACATTTTTACCTCACATCATTCACGCAAATTTGACTGCTGGAACATTTTGTGCAGTCTGTGTTAATTCTTCCCAAACAGCCAATGTATCGGCTGTGCGAAATGCTACGAACGGACCGTGTGAGGAAGTGTGCCTGCGTGTGTGATTGTGAGTTAAGCGTCAGACTGAATTCACCAGAAACTTGTATGTTTGTCTCTATCTGTCTTACCATTTTGCCAAAAAGTCACTATATAATGCTAAAAACATGTCCAGTCCCTTACAGTAGATAATATTGGAGCTCAGTATTTTACGCGTTTGGTCAACTTCCTGTCTACTTATGTACACAGTTTATATCAAGAGGACAGCTTCTTCAGACTCCTCAATGCTCTCAAAATGCCAAGCTGATCTTTAGTTGTAGAAGTCAAATTTATTCACTCAGTACTTCAAGTACTCAGTGAGTTTTCATTAAGAATGACAAATATGTTATAAACTGAAATATATCTAAACTTTGGCCCGGGTTGATGTCATGCTGTAGTTTACAAAGTGATCTTAAGAGAGTAACCAACCAAATGTGCTTGGAAAGGGCCGACTATGCTGCAACATTCATGGCTAAAACACCTTCGTCCGTCAGCCAGCTGCCATTAATTTCACTCTCTTCTTCAGACCCATCTCTCTTCATAATGGTTCATTCATTACCTCCGATAGGTGTTGCAGATTTATGCTTTGGCTTGAGCTTAGGCTGCACATTGCCAAGAAGACAGCTGGTAATACTTTAATATATAGACACATAGGCATCATCATTATTCAGCAGAATTAAAAGTCTATTATTTTGTTCCTCTCCCACCCACAGATACCCCAGCTGTCCATCTGTCCATCTGGAAATATTTGCTGTGTGTTGCTGTGTCCGAAATCGCTCCCTTGTTCCCTCATTCATTAGTTCAAACATGGCAAAAACTGTTGGACACTTTCAGATACACATAAATCATCATTTTGCACCACCCCTGTTTTACTAATTTACAGCAGAAATTAATAAGTGTTCCAAACGGCTCCCCCGATCTTTGCTCCCTGGACCTCAGTTCTGAGTCATACGTCCACATATGTACAAACAACTTACATTAATGTTTAGCCAAAGTTTATGTTCAAGTTTACTTAAAATATCATTAATCGATTAAGTGCGAGTGGAAACTTCTGCCTTCAAACTTCTCAGTCAAGGTTTCAGAAGTCGTGGATGGTTTGGTTCAGCAATCCCTTTGACTCCTGACTGAAGTTTACTAAGGAACAGATTTGAAATATTTGATACACTTATGACCGTGATGATGATACGAACATGCTGATGTTTAGAGGGGTCATGTTTACCATGTTCAACATTTTATTTTAATGTGTTAGCATGCTAACATTGGTTAGTTAGCACTAAACACAAAGTGCAGCTGAGGCTGATGGGAATGTCATTAGAAATGCAGGTATCTGGTCACAAACCAAAGTTTTGGAAAAAGTGAAATTTCAACCTGATTATAGTGTAGGGCCCTATGAAATTCATTTAATTTTTTTTCCAGATTTTTTTGTTTTACAATCTAAGCACATTTTGTCAACAGAAAGAGTGTGTGATCATGTGGTGGATGAATAAAATTTAAACAACTCAATAAGAAAATATTAAAAATGTAATCAATATCAATGAATATGATGCATCAAACCAAAAATTCATATACAAATGATGAAATGTAGGCCTATGTACAATTATTTATGGGCACAATTCACAATAAATGTATTAATGCAATGCTTTTACTGTGAATTATCCCCTTTTATGTTATTACTTGACTACAGATAATTTCTTTCCACGGATCTTCTGTAGCCTCCATATGCTGCTTGACATTATTTTTTCAGAATCTCCACTTTTGCACTTTTGGGAGTTTGTGTTGAGCTCGAGCTAGCAAGCTGATTTTGGTGTGTGTGTCCGCTCTAGGTGAAACACAGGGAGCAGAGGAAAGAGACAGTTGGTGTTTGTAGATTAAACCAAAATATAGCAGTGTACTTTCTGTTTGTTTGCCTAAAGTGCAGTGAAAAACATGCTTATAATGCTATGGAAGACCCCCATTTATATAAATTGCAACCACATGCTGGCAGATGTTGCTGCGATATTCTGCGTTTAACAGCTGATTCCATTTTTATTATCAAATCCCGAGATTCCGTCCGCGTTTACAACATTGCGGAAATCATAGGACCCTAATGGTGCTAGATGAAGCTATTACATGGAAGACACGTACCAAATTAATGGCAAAATCTCTCTGGACACACAAAACAAAATTAAATAGTTTGAGTCCTTATGTCGACTAATTTTTTCTACATGTCCAACACTAAACTGAGTCTTATTCTGGGTCCTCACAGAGATGTGTATGTAAGTGTGAGTCTGAATGGGAGGGTGAGATCCCTGAAACCCTGCAGGCTGCTGCTCTTCAGATGAAATGGCACACAAGTGACTCCCTCTGAGATCACATGCCACTCAAACTGTGCAGTCAGACCTGAGAGCGTCAGAGAATGGGAATAGAGGGAAGAAATGGATGAAAGGAATACGTTTGCAGGAGTGAGGGGAACTGATGGAATTGGAGCTGCAGTAGCTGAGCCACTGCGTCTGATTGCAGCTCTTGATAAAGAAAAGTATCAGATAGGCAATCAGAGTCCTGGCCTGAGAGGATTTGAAATTTTTGGTGGACTATGGATCAGTCCACCTGTTTCTCTGTTCGTCTATCTTTGAGAGAGCTGATGGGATTTTGACAGCAGTTGGAAGAATGATACGTCTCCAGTGGTATTTCAAAATTGTAGATCAGGGAATTATCACAACCGCAAGTCAAATACAGAGGTGCAAGCTAAAATAAACAAGCAAGCAAACACACAAACATGGGATTGGGCCATGATGTTGAAGGCAGGGAGGGTTACTTCTAACCTTTACCGGTGTAAAAAGAATAGTAAAAAATGCCAATCACAATTTCCTAGAGGTGAAGTCTTCAAATAACTTACAGTGAAAAGCAGCACAGTCTCACATTTAAGAAGCAGGATTAATTGATTGATAAAGTAAATTTTCTGTCAGTGAACAACCTGATGAATCATCTGTTCTCTGTGGTAATTAAAATCATGTAACAGCAAAATACAGGATCAGTTGATTAAACATTTGAAATAGATCAAAGGTAGGGTTGCACAGATGCCCATAATATTCATCTCCTGTAAATCAAATGTACTCACTGCCGTGCTCTGACATTTACGGCCTCATTCATGGTGACATTTTACTGCTGTTCCTTTTGATTTCTCACTATTTGCCTGCTCTTATTATTGGAAAGTAAAGGAAGGTCCTCGCTTAAAGTCTGCTTTCACAAGACCATGAGTTTGATTCCTGTCATTCCTTTCTGACAATTAAAGAGTTAAATTAAAGAGTTTTTAGAAACTTCTTTTTGTTTTGTTTTTTGCCTAATCTTGAGCAAGTAAGGATGTTATTTTGTCTTATACATGAGTAATCAACCCTTTCTCTCTGTCCCTTCCTGCAGAGCGTGTTCACTGTTCTGTTGGGGCCTTTCACCTTCTTCAACGCCCAGAAGACCAAATATCTTCAGATTCTCACTTCCGTCATGCGCTGGATTGGTAAGAATAAACTAATCCTACAGTATTTCTTCGCTAACAGTAATTATTCCGTTTACCGATATGTTGAAGATTTTGATTTTTTTTTATGCCTTTTACCGTTCTCCCCTTTTCTAATTCTGTTTGGTTCTACCTCTCTTTTTCAACCGACACGTATTTCCATTTTCTCTGTGTCTCCCTATGTTTCTTTCATCCCTCGCTCCCTCCTGCTCTCGCCTGTGTGGCTGCTGTGCTCAGGTCTGTCCATCATGGTTCGGTCCTGCTCTGTGTCTTTGATTCCCATCCCCTCTCATTCCTCAGCCTGACAGGCTTGACAGCCCGTCCCGAGCCTGATTGGACCGTCACTCACCTGGTGACGGGCGAAAATAAACCACCCGTCCTGGACCCGCTGTTAAAATCACAACACTACTGAATCATGGCGCTCCCGCCACCCCCGCACAGGCGCGCGCTCGTTCGCAAAAACAACACACAATCACAGCAGCATCCGCACACTGTCCACTGTCTGGATGGCTAAATAACGCAGGCTGCACCTTTCACTCCTCTTCATCTTTCTTCACCTTCCCCAGGCATGTTATGTATTTGATTGGTGGTGTCGCTGTGCAGGGCTCCTAACAACACTGGCTAATGATTTTAAATGGCTCCAGTCAAAGCTCTGTGTTTCCTCCTATGTGTTTGATCAATAACATGAGCCAACAGCCAATAAAATTAGATTTTGAATGAAGTTTTAAATCATAAAAAAAATTCAGTTTTAACAAAAGCCAACGAAAAACACTGTGGTATTGTCTTTCTTGGTCTACATTAGATGGGATTGAACAGGCTTAGACATGACGTGCTAATAATGGAAAACATTACTAACAAAAATAACATTTAAAAAAAAGGAGACAGTTATTTAGCCAAGCCCAACATTTCCCTCAATAACATACACACCCCTGAAGCACTATATCTAGCAACCCCCTCTGAGTTTCTGGTGAAATGTAGGCATTCACTGAAAATAGTAGACTTCAACTTTATAACAACACAAAAGACATGTTGGTGATACACAGCAGTTCTATAGCAGAGTTAAAGCATTATTCCAATTTATTACAACATGCCATCACAACTGGCCATCGTTCCTATTAATAATTAAAACATTGTATTCACAGAGTTCACTGATGACATCTGGTGGAAAGACGTCAGAGGTCAGGTGATTTAAGAGCAGTCAGATGATCAAAATAATTTCTTTGGAAGAGGAAACGAAAGCGGGCCGTAAAATAACTACCAAAAATGTAACATAAGCATTTATCAGATTTAACAGACAGTTTTCCTGCTTACCTTTTACCTACTGCACTCATCATAGTTGTGTGCACATAGTTCTCCACATAAAGGTTCACATTATTTAGATAAATCATCAGATCATGTGACTTTGACCTTGGCATATGTTGTAGCGATGGCTGAGTTCAGAAACAACTACATTTGTGTGTACGGTGAAATCACAGGAGATAGATTTGGTCACCAAAATTAAGAAAATAACACCCTTTTAATGATAAAAAGAGTGGAAAGACAGTTTGAGTGAGAGATTGTTGGAGTGTTTCTGGATGAGCTGCTGCTGGAGGACAAAAGAAAATATTATGCTGTTAAGACCAAGCGGCATTTTCAGGTCTGAAACGTGAATCCAATGTAGGACTCCCTTAAACCTGTATTCTATCGAACGGCCTGCAGGGGGCGACTCTTCTGGTTGCAAAAAGAAGTCCGGTTCCATTACAAATAATGGTGAAATGACCCTACTTCTCAGCTGATTTCTTACCTCAGTGAACACTTTCATAATGAGTTTATGGTCTCAATCACTAGTTTCATGTCTATGACTGCGTCCACTTCTTTTATACAGTCTATGGTTAAGACACTGTTTCCCTTCAGATATATGCAAGTGTGTTTTTTTTAGGCAGCTACGAGTTCTTTGCTGCAAAGTGGTGTTCTGCTCTCAAAAGCACTTTAACGCTCTGTAGCAAGTGGCTGCAGTATCGTACAGTACTCCCCCGTTTACATGTGTTTACAAACTGCGCCTTTAAATTAAATGTTAAGACAGTCAAAGGTGTGTTTGCAGATATTTTATTGCGGCTATAAATGTGTCAACATTGGATCCATTTTACAAATACCAAGCTTGAAAGTAAAACTCCACTCTAGCTCTGCCTTTGTAGTATCAAACACTCGTCCCCTGCAGGCTGGAGAGGTGGCTGTAAAAGCTTCTTAGTTATTGCTAAAAATGGTGAAAACGTGACTGATGAACTCAAGCCAATCATAGCTGCTTTTCTCTTAATGAGGAAACTGCTAACTCTGAGAGGAATATCCCTTCATATACTCAATTTGGTCATTTTTCTGTGTGATCCTGAGTCTCAGGATGTATTTTGTTTAACACTCTGTGGACATAAGACCCCACCTCCCCTCCTGACCGTTACTCACCACTCCCTGGATACACCTGCAGTCACCTGCGTTGCCCTGTGAGGGGACGTGGTGTGTTTGATGTCAGGGTTAGCAGCTGGCTGGTGTGTTGGGGCCCTGCCTCCTGCCCTCGGCTCTAGCCTTGTCACATTCGTTGCCACTCAACTATAGTCACCTTCTTGTCCAGTGAGCCCTGTTTCTTTGCACCAAACATGAGTGATAGTGTGACTGCCTGCTGCTGTGCTGCCTGTAACACGCTGTGATTTTCAATAGAGTAGCCATTAGCCTGGGTTAGCGTGACACCGTTTTACAACCCAGAACACCTGACTGCAGTCACTTTTTGTTTTTTAATCGTTCCGAAATTAAAATAGAAAGTGGTGTGAAGGGCAGCGTTGGGGCTCAGGCCATCTGTACCCATTTTTGTCAGTCACTGCTATAAATGCACTACAAAGTAATTTGTGACAAAACTAATAAGGAATGATGCATTCAACCATTCTTCTCTTTTCAGCACACAGCGGGTAATGACCTGAAGGGTGTCACCTCGAATATCTGAGACACTAGTGATCCGCACGTAAAGTGACAACACTGGCAGGCTTGGTTCTGGAGGTTCAAAATGAATCTTAGGGACCAGGAGCGTGGTATTGTTTAGGGCGTTCACTTGTTTTCTTCTCTATTGTTTGCCTAGAGAGGCATTTGCATATGTTATTATTATGTCAAGTGACTGGTTGTCTATGTGTGGCCCTGCAATGGATTAGTGACCTCTCCAGGGTGTACCCCGCCTTTCGCCCGACGTTAGCTGGGATTGGCTCCAGCCCCTCGTGACCCTGTAGGCAGGATAAGTGGTTGACAATGGATGGATGGATGGATTATTATGTCAAGTTTTTATTTAACTACATTTGTTTGTTTTTTTTAAACTCAAAACAATACAATAAGAATAAACCAATAAAATAACTACATTTGAAGTCATAATGATAATTAACTTCTTTAAAGAACTTCAACATCCTTGGTAGTCAAGACGGCCAAACCGAGACCAAGTCAAGAATTTAATGAGTCTGAGACAAGACCAAGACTTTTAGAGGCAGAGACCAAGTCGAGACCAAGACCGAGGGATGGCGAGACCAACAACCAGTTCCCCACGTTACATGACACACAAACAAATGTGGAACAAGATCATAGGTACTTCTCAGATTGATCTGAAAAATCTACATTCCCTTTAAAACACCCACGCACAAACACTAAGAGCTGAAATCAACTTAAGCATCTTTATTCAACACTCCTTTTCCGTGCTGACCAACGCGGGTAGGGCTGACAGTCGTTAACGGTAACAGCACATTTTTAATTATGGTTATTGGTTGCATTTGAAGCAATACAATTTATATCTAATCAAAGATTAGTACAAGTAAATCAGACCATGCAAAATCAATTTATTGATATTCCCAAAGTTATGGTTGACTAGTTTTGAAATAAAATCCCGAGTCCTCAATGACTGAGACCGAGATAAGACCGGGTCCAAGCAGACGAGACCAAGACCATCAAAAAGTGGTCTTAAGACCGGTCTCGAGTACTACAACACTAGTCCGTCGTTCACGTCCAGGGAGATTTTGTTGCATCTCTCCTCCCCATATCTTGTCATCTCTCTACTGTCTGTAAGAAAGTCATAATAATGCCTTCAGTATAATTTTTTAAATAATAAAGAGAAACTTAACACCCCTTTTTACCTAGAACAAGCACCCCTTCACAAGTTCTTTCTTCTTCTTCCAACTGTTTATGTGGCGCATACTGAAAGACTCAAACGCCATCCATCATTCATTGACTTTTGAAAATTCTTGTTAACCTTTATGTCTCTCTTTTCAGCGCAGTGTAATAACAATCCAAAATCTTGTACAGTTGCAGTGTAAATGTAGCTGCATTACATTAACCCTTTGCATTTTTTTGCAAGTGACATTAAACCATGAAGTCCTGCTTTAGATTGGGATCTTTGACACTTGTCACCAGGAAATATTACCAGTCTGTTATTGCACTACCTAAACTTACTGGCATTCACAGTATATTTATTTTGTCACAAATTTCTAACTGCACACAAATCTTGTCAGGTCAATTTTATTTATGTTGACCAATATCACAAATATGCCTCAAGAGGCTTCACAATCTGTACAAATAAATCCAAGAGAGAGAGAGTTTTGCAAACTCTTTAAGCAAATAAGGTGCTTTTTACCAGCAGTATTCCCTTTGCACAGTAGCAAAAAAATATTTCTAAATATTTAAATTTTATTTAATTTTTTTATTTAAATTAAAAAAAGTAAATCTCAACTTAATATCAATGTAATCAAATCAAATATTAAACCAAAGCTATTTGCCACTGCCCGGGCATTACCTTTTATCTAGCTTATTAAAACAAGTTACCATCAGAGTCCAGTTTTTCAGTTGTTTTTCTGAACGAGTATAAGCAGAAACGTTTTTTTTTTTATCAGGGAGCAGCATAAACAGTCTATGTTCAGTAGCAAGTGTCCCTGTTAGAGTGAGGTGAAGTGGTCGAACACAAGGCGCAGCGACAAGCGGGCGTGTTCCCGTGAAACTGTCACGGTTGT